ATCATTCAGATTAATGTCCATGGCTCTTCTCAGGGCTCCAAATAGGGCTTTTAGTCTTCCAAACACACATTCAATCACCATACTGTACGTGCTCGGCACAATGAAAGTCCAAAGTACTGCTCCTGAACATTGCTTCCCCCATTGGTATATTCTTTCATCAGGTAAGGCAGTAGTGGGTATGCGGGGTCACCCAGTATGTAGACAGGTATGGGATCTTCGTTCTCCACAATTTGTCTTGGACAGGGGGGAATCTTCATGTGTTTCAGATTTGTGTTTATTGTGGAGTTGGAAAATACTCTGGCATCACTCCCTGGCCATTTCACAACAACATCAATAAAAGAGTACTTGTAATCACAGGTGGTTTGTATGTTAAGGGAAAACCTCCCCTTCCTATTTAGGTACTCTGTAGAATTGGCTGATGGCTGCTTGATCTCCACACGAGTCCCATCCACAGCTCCAAGGCACTGAGGGAGACCATAAGCCTGCTCAAATCCCTCCACAAGTGCATGTACGGCAGTCTCTGTTGTTGGCATTTTGATGTATGACGGTCCCAAGTACACAGTTTAGCCTTACACACCTGTCTAACTATTTTTGGGACTACCTGCCTTGACAATCCAAATGCATTGGCCGTTTTACGTAGTCTTCCCTCGTCAGCCAAATAATACAGGGTGCATGCAACCTTTTTGACCACACAGACTGGAGATCGCATTACAGTAGTTTCCCCTTCAATGTAAGGACGAAGTAACTCCGAGAGTGACAGTAACGAAGTCCGTGACATTCTGAAGTTCTCACGCCATTCCTCAGGGAGAGCGATTTCCCTCTCAAAGTTTTCCCACCAGCTAGCAGTGCGTCCAGGTCTGATCCAAAACCGGCGACGTCGACGTTGAATGGCGGCACTGTGCCTCCGTATCGGTACGGATAGTTGCTGTAAAATAGCTGACCTCCAAGCGCTTCTTCTCCTTTGTAATTCCATATGTTGGAGCAGCTGTGCTTGCAAAAACAAACAAGCAAAACCTGCCTGAACCAACGTTACAATCAGCGCTTCTCCGAACGTAACCATTTTACCTCCTCTGAATGGGCAAAGATAAACAACTGTCGCACATGTGACGTCACCGCCGCACTAAATGTCGCAGACATAATGCGTGAATCTCCGGTTTGTAATGTCCACAAGCAAACGCCAAGGAGGAGAAAATGCAAATCTCCACTTTGGTCGGAGTTTTTGCTATCATTCGTTTTTAGTTAAACCAAACGGAGTTCACGTGTGGATGAAAGGCATAAAAAATTATTCGGTTTTCCTGATATCCGGGTACGTGTGTACAGGGCCTGAATGTGAGTGTGGAGAAGGGGAAGACGCTTTTGCATAACCAAAGTCAGCTTCATTTAAAGCATTTAAACTAGTGAGAAAAAAGTTTGCTGACTTACCTCAATGTGCTTTCTCAGGTTAGATGGTGAGTTATGGAATGCTGAAAGGTATTTTACCCGTGGTAAACAGAGAAGACATTTGAACTGAAACATATTATTTTTAAGTCCTAAAACCTCGAACATTGAACTGAGATATGGCCATGGGTGTGCTGGTTTCTCTCCTTGCGTTTCCTCAGTGGTCTCCATTGCATCTTCTTCTTCTTCTTTTGTCTGGTTCTGCTTGAAATGAAAGTAAAGTGATGGGAGCGCACGCTCCGCTACCGAGAGTTAACGAGTGTGACGTAGGCTATAAGCTACGCATGTGATTGTTTACCTTTGTGACGAACATAGCTTGTGGCCAATTGCATTTCATGAAAAGAAAAACTGGAACAGCGGATTTTTTTCTTTTCTTTTCTTTTCTTTTTTTACAGCAGATTATAAAGCTTTGCTGATCTAAAAGGAACGAGTAACGACAAGCTTCCTAGAAATGTAGTGGAGTAAAAAGTACAATATTTGTCTTTGAAATGTAGTGGAGTAAAAAGTACAATATTTGTCTTTGAAATGTAGTGGAGTAAAAGTAAAAAGTTCCCAAATAAATAACTACTCAAGTAAAGTAAAGATACTCAAAAAATGTACTTAATTACAGTAATAAAGTAAATGTACTTCGTTACTGTCCACCACTGACTATGACGTCCTGCAGCTGCTCAGCTCAGCTACTGTCAGGTGTCGGGTTGTGGACTGGACCAACACCTAACAGAATGTTAAAGCCACTGATGTTGGAAATAAATGAGGCTGACTGCGATTGATCCATGTGTAAATGGAAGATCAAGGCTCTCAATGGTGTAAAGAGCATGTTCAAGTTTGAAATATCGTCATTTACAGGTCAAAACTCATGATAAAACGTTAACCTGCTAAAATTAGTCAGAACATACTGTCTTTATACTATCCCAGATAGATTTCAATCACCAATGCGCAAAATATTTGTCTAATCGTCCATCCCTAATACAAAAATCTGCTTTCTGGTGAGCATGCACCACTGGACAGATTTTAATGAAACTCACAGAAATGGATGAGAAACCATCGTTGCTAAGCATCTTATTCACACTAGCAACAGAACATCTTGGCCGGAGAAGTTAAAAAATAAAAATCAAATAATAAAATCAGAGGAAGTGCAAGAAAGTAGCTGCTAAAACGAAATGAGGATTTTCTACTTGGGTATGTTTCCAGCTTCTTACTCTTTATAGTGCCAGATGTCACTTAAAATGGTGATACATGTTTAAGGTGTGCATTTAATAAAAAGATAAAAGTGTTGAGTGTTGTTTGAGTAACAACCTGGTTTATGACAGATATATTCTAATACTTTTTCTATATTTTTGTCCAAATTATATGCAAAAAACTGGTGGAATTGTTCCTAGATTTCCAGTGACAGAAGCGGCTTTGTTATTTGGTACTATTTTGAACAAAAAATGTAAAAATGTTTTCTATAATGTAAAAAACATTAATTATATTGTATTTTGTTATCAGTAGGTGTTTATTTTTTGTGATTGTGTGGATCAATCCTTAGGAAAGCCTTTTATTAAAGAAAATAATTTTAGTTTTATTGTATCTAACCTGTAATATAACGTTTGACACGATTCACTAAAAAAAACGATTTTAACTAAAATAAATGAGCAATTCAACCATAATTATTTGAAAAATATTAATTTCAAATGTGTTTTTTATTGATATGTTTATTAAAGGCTTTACTTATTTTGGTTTTGAAGATAAAAATACTGCTGCTGTGCTTTAGGGTGTTTGGGATTTGCCTGGGTAATTAAAGGTAAATAAATAAACTAGAATTAATTTTCTGTGGTTGCAGTCGTTGACTTTAAAACGAGAACTAATACTGTATTCAGTGATAGCTCAATTATTCTGGCAGAAAATAAAAGAGGAGAGGTTGTTAGAGAGACTCTAAAAACCGGTGTTTGGCTCTTTAAACTTTATCATCATCTGATGTTAAAAGGCGGCGGCAGACAATCGTGTTTTTGGCCCGTATCTCGGTGTGCGCATGTATATGTGTCTTAATACCAAAAATATCTTCTGAACTATGGGACGTCTTGATGAGGTGGATGGATGAGTCAGCTTTAAGCCTCCACCTGCAGAGGGCTCCCCTCCTGCTCCCCTCACTCAGCTCCTCTCCAGGCTCTTCCTTTCAGGAGCCTTTGATCGCATCACTGCTGTTGACAGTTTAGCACCTCTGTGCTGTGAAAGCCTCAGCTGCCCGGCATTGTTGCCTTTCCTTTTTTTTTTTTTTTCTCAGGTCAGTTCACACTTCCAAGCCCCCGAAGAAGAAGAAAAAGTAGACTGGCTTCTTCGCTTTCCAGCAAATAACTGTTCACAGCTTAATGAGTGAAAATATTATTAATCGCTGATGTAAAAAGGTGAAAGGCGGGCAAAGTTAATTGTTTTTGCCTGAGTGTTTGGGTGTCTGTCAGCAAAACAATCTTGTATTCATTTGTATGAAACTCTCAGACAATAATCAGTGGATGCAAATATGTTAGCAAAATATCTCATGAACCATTAGCCACAGTGTAATCTCTCAGTAAGTTATTACTAAATGTACATTTACAACTGATTAACTACTCTTGGAGTCGGGCAACTCAAGGTGTCTGTCACAGCCAGCTGAACTTAGCGAACACAAAAAAAGACCATAACAGATATTGAGCTGAAATTTGTTGTGGTAGTAGCTGAAGGTCATCCCCAGTAGATTGTGCATAATGTTTTGTTTTTTTTTCTAGGTTTGACCAAAACCTACAACATAAGAAGATCTCACTTTAAACTCCGGCACAAAACGTGTCAGGTAATGTGTGATCCTTCAAGGTATGCTGGGCCGTTGATTTAGAAAGGAAATGATTCATAGCTTCATCGTGTTGCAGTGAAATCAAAACGGTTTAATTGACTTCCAGGCATCCACAGCATCCACTTAGCAGGAAAAAAAAAAGAAAACCCTCACTCGTTTACTGTGGGAAATAAAAGCATAAGAGCGAAGAGCTAAGACAGATTGAGTGCAGATAAGCAGCCAGAGGTTTCTGAGCATCCCAGGGAGCGAAGGATGAGGGGATTACGAGCAGAGCGTGAGAGGATGAGTGGATGAACACAGGATGATCTAAGGATTAACCACGTCAACTGAGCAGTCTAATAACACAATCAGCCAGCTAATACAAATGCCCGGGAACAGATTGTATATTTACAGGCAGACAAGTTGGAAAAAAAAAAGGCATTACAGCAATTTTTTTTCCTGCTCTGAACATGTTTGCCTGTTTGTGGGCAGAGAAGACGAGAACATCTCTGTGTTTAAAGGTTTAAAGATGAGATGAGCGTGTCCTGCGAGCTCAGAGATGATTACTATCATCGAGGGGAGAGAGAGAAAGTAGGTGGAGGATATGAATAGAAGAGTGATAGTTGTGGAGGCACGTCTTCTTCTACACAGGCGTTAAATTCAAATCCACGCCCCCACCTTGTGTTGGAGAGAACCGCACGGAGCCGTGCTAACCGCTCGCTGACGGAACGGGCTTTCTTATACAACATCACATTTCTGCAGGTGTTTTCGCTGCCCTTACCTGACTGTGAGACGCGTAGACGTGGTAACCAAGGGTCAGCGGGTCGTTGTTCTGAAAGAGAGCAGACATTTTCTGTTAAACACAGTCTGTAATTTGTAAAGAAAACAGGCAAGAGGGCATGCATGTGTGCATGCATCTGCGTTTATCAGTCTGTACCTTTAGATAAATATCTCATGAAGTAAACAACTGATTTTTATGAAACTCAGAAAATGATTGATGCTTAGAGTTGACTAAGCTTGGGCGGTATGACAATATTATGGTATACATCAGTATAGAAATATGTGATTATTTATTTATTTAGATCCCCATTAGCCATTGCCGTAACAAGAGCTACTCTTCCTGGGGTCCTTAAAAAAATGCAAAAAATGGTGACGGTCTTTAAAGATTATAATGGTATACTTCTGGAGCCTAATCACATAAAATATTTTAAATTGCTCTAGTCAGAAAGATATGCCTTCTTTGTCAAAAAAATTGTCAATTTAGTGTCAAACGTAAGACTTCAAACTATACACCAGTTTTGAAATTGTGTTGATATGCCAAATAATACTGGAGTTATGAGAAATGGTATACGCCACTTTTTTTTCTGAACATGACATCTGATGCCTGTTGCAGCAGCAGGAAACACAGTGGTCTCATGGAACCAAACAGCTCAATCCACCGTCAGTCTCATCCTTCTCTCGAGTCAAAAAAAATAAAAAAACACCCCTGACCACCACCACATCTTTTCTGCCAGAGGCCCAAAATTATTTGGCCAGTATCAAAAAATTTACAGAAGAAGAAAATAAAAAGATATAAAAGCTTAACAAAGTTCGGCAGAGATGGAGAGACACCAGCCATACATGCCTCCACGCCCATTTCACCCTGCCCTGGTAATAATGTATTATCTAAAGATAATACGTTGGCATGAAAAATATCAATACCCCCAACTCTTATCAACCTTAGAGTTGAGTTCATGTTGGGGTCAGTTCTAGAGGCGGGGCCACCGAGTCATTGGCCTATCTGAGATCCGATTGGCCCCCTGAAGTGCCCCCGTCCTGTCACACATCTGTCCTTTGCGATGATGGTGGATGCAGTTCCATGTCCAACCACGAGCGGTGCTAATGAGTCAAATAGTAAAGTCCAGCATGAATAAAGCTTACAGAGGTATTTCTTTCTTATTAAGATTTGACCAATCGTGTAGAAAAAGTATTTCAACTGATCAACGAATGCTGGATTTTCTTGCATGCTTTATGTTTGTGAGTACTTTATCTATGTACAGTAAAAATGCATGTAAAATTGTAGAATTTACTGTGCAAGCTTTTAAAAATCATTAGACATTACAAGCGTTTGAACATGTGAGACTGGTTAAATGTATACATCTTACAAAACTGGTGATTTGTGTGCAAGGATGTTAAACAAATATTTGGTCCCTCTATGAATATTATGGCCCCATGATGGCCCCTAGATCCAGCAGTGGTTCATGTTAGCTTCACTTTCAAACTGAATGAAACCGTCTGTGGCTTCGACAGTGTTTTAACAAGCTGGGTAAAGTTTTTAAAGACAGATGAGGTCCAAAGTATTGGCGTACTTCAAGCTCGCTGACCATAAAAGGACGTCTTGTACGTCCTGGAAGGTTTCCTCGACTTCCAGCAGCAGCACACAGACAGAGGGGCTGAGAGGAGCCAGAAGAAAAACAAAACCTTTTTTAAGCTGCTAAATGGACTTTAAAAAGTTAGACATGTCTGTCTGCTCCATTTCCATTGAATAAATGTTTGAGGAAACGTTCTAAAACACCCCACAACTAATCATTTTTAGCCAGTCCAAAAATAGTAAAAGTAGCCAAGAGTCATTCACAACAAACAGATCAAGGATAATGTTTTTCCTAAGGTTTGACCTGAATGTCTTCAACATTTTTCCATCATAAAGTGGTCTCAGTCTAAAACTCTGGTGTGAAAAGTGGTGAGTGACATGCAATTCATCTGCCAATCCTAGGCCTTTGATTTCACATGAAGCAGTTTATTCTGTTTGTTCAGTCGACTCCCATTTTGTCGTGTCTCTGTAGCCGACTTTACGGTTAGGTGGCGTTTCTGACTGTTAATCAAATTAACTCCACCGACGACACACACACACGCCTGCTATCTCCCCAGTCAGCCTCCTCTGGAGTTTTCCACCCAGCGGATCTTTTGTCTGCTCGTAACGGCGTGATAAGACAGGGCGAGTGAGCGGATGCGAGCGACGGATGAAAGTCGGAGGGAAGAAAAGAGCGAGTGTCAACGTGGCTCTTAAATCATAAATAGGTCAGGAGTGTCAGAGAGCGCGAAGCCCACTGGTGTGGAACGCAATCACGAGCCCTGATGCAATCTCTGCTACATTCCTCTCTGTGTTTTTGCTGCGGAAAGCAAAGACATCAAACGTCTGCTGTGTGATTAATTAAAGACATCGAATCCCTTCAACGTGTATCGCCCGCCGCCTTTCACGCAAGAGTTTTAGACTGAAACTGTCTCATGTTGAGAATGTTATGCGATATTGTGGTATTTCATGTGATCAGTTAGCAACTGCAGCATGTGTTGTGAATGACTCTCAGCTACTACCACACCAAACTTTACCTCGGTATGTGTAAAATCCCTTGAGTTATAGCTACTTTTGTGTTGGCTAATTTCAAATTGGTGTGGTGGCAATCTTAAATAGGGGTAAAAGTTAATTAGCTGGAGAAGTTCACACAATTATGGTTTTCTAAACGCTTTATTGAATATCATTCAATGGTGTACAGAAAATGGATGGATGGATGGATGGGTTCATAAGATATTTTGCCAAAAGTATAGACAAATGAATCCACAAAATAAAAATATTAACTCTGAAAATCTGACAGGAATCATGTATCTAACTCCTTAAAATAGTTAGAAACCAACATTTAAATGTGCTCATGACACCGTGTTGTGCCTTTATGCAAATGCACAAAAAATAACAACAACACGCTTTTCACTGTAATTACGGCATTTCGATAAGGGGGGGGGGGATTTGGCTCTTCTATGTCTTCACATCTGCAGATTAGAAAACAAGCTCAGCTCCCCCTCTCCCCCGATCTTCCTTTCATGTGGAACCAATGTCCCTAGTCTGCTCCGTCCCTGGAGGGGGGACTACTTTGCTCCACGCGCTTCGCAGCTTGAGCTCGCCTGATTAGTACTGGAGCCATCTCACTCTAGACCCCATGAGGCTATTTCACTAAAACTGAGCACAATGTATCCAAAAATGTTAAAGGAGAGAGGAAAAAAAAGAGAGAGAGAGGATGGTGGTGGTTGGGGGGAGAAAGCGCCTTCGAGATTGAAAAATACATCTTGTGAGAGTCTATCTCCGAGCCAAAAATGTACTTAGTGAACTGACTCGGGGAGGGAGAAGCTCTAAATAATGAATCACCTCTTAGAGGCTTGAATAACATGAATAAAGTATAAACCTGCGTTTGCAACGACAGCAAACTCCTAATGCAAAACACTGCAGGTATGAAGAAGCAAAAATACTCCAAAAAAAAAATAAGGCCCAGCCTCCGTTGATGGAATGCACGTCTCCCGCTGCCATGCGTGCCAAGCTGCAGCCATTTTGGCAAAATCTTAAAAATAAAATTGTTTAATCTCATGTGAATGAAGTATATGTTGCCTCATCACATTTTAACTTAAGGTCTGTAAAAACTGACTGAGTTCTAGCTATTTTTGTGTTGACTAATTATGGTAGGTGTGGCAGCCATGTTGAACTGGGGTGTCATTTGTAGATGCACACTCAATGATTGTCATTTGATGTTTAATTTAAGTCTGCCCCAGTGGTTCATGAGATATTTTGCCAACAAACACGATTGACTACAACAATAAAAGCATATTTACCCATTTTTGTGTTTTCTAAGGTTGTTTAGTTGTGGCAACCATCTTGAACAGGGTTGAGTCAAAAATTAAATGCCAGCCCACTTATTACTCCCTTAACGTTTACTGGAAGTCTGTTAAGTGAAACATGATACATTTTGTTGTCAGTTCCAAAAGTCAATCACAAAGGTTTAAAGACAAATCTCACATGATCAGTTAGGGGGAAGCGTTGGAAATCAGTCTCTACCACAACACCAAGGTTGATTCGCTGTGGCAGCCGTCTTGAATTGGGATGACGTAAAGGGTAATCAATTGTAGATGAACATCCTATGATTACTTTGAGTGTTTCATTCAAATCCGTCCAGCGATTCCTAAAATATTTGCTAAAAATGCAGACAAATATACACACGTTTGTATTTCTACTCTTATTGAGGTTCAGTTATAGTCACTCTCAAGTGTCACGCAGAATTCCGCAGACAGCAAGCGCTCCCTCGCAAGTGGTGTAGGTGTTTATGTTCTACGCTTATGTTAGTGCAGTAATCCACTAAATGACGTGTGGCGGTACAGTTTATAACTTGTAAAATATTGTTCAAGGAGAACAAATGCTTGATGGACAAGCTATTTGAATGGTGAGCAGGCCGTGCAAAGTTACAAAATTTAGAGGTGCATGACCAGGCAAGACTATATAGGGTTTAACGTGCAGAGGCAGGAATGGCGTGATTACGTCACTGTTGGCGCGTACACACTTGTGTTCATTGCATCAACTACAAAATAAAAAACAGGAAACTTCTGATTCTGGATGTTGGATTCTGAAACAAAATATTGGGCCTCATGCAAGAACCGTTCGTACGCACAGATTTGTTCTTAAGTTGTGCGTACGAGTGATTTAGGAGAATTTGTGGCATTCACCAATGTTTTCGTATTTGAAGATTTTTTTCAGATACGAACAAAATTCACGAGTGGTCCAGACCTGTCGTATATTTTACAAGCAGTCAGTCTGCTGTTATCCAGACGGGTTTTCCTCCCTAATAACTTTGTATTTCGTTAGTTTGAAGATATTTTGAGTTGAAAATAAATCACACTCCATAATTATGTTGACAATAGGCTATTCTGCTTGAATTAGAGTTATAATTTTAAATGTAATAATTTAGACTAACAATATAAATTGTCCGTCCGTCCGTTTTCTGCCGCTTTTCCGAGATCGGGTCTCGGGGGCAGCAGCAG